CAGCGAGCGTGACCTTTTCCTCGGCGCATTCACACGGGGAACTTGTGACTGTCTGCATCACGCCACAGACATCACAACGCGCCTCGCATTCCAAACAGCTGGTATTTGTTTGAGGACACGGCCTCGGTTTAACTGAACGTACGCTGAGGGTGCTCCGCTCTGCCGATTGATTCCCATCACAGCGTCGGGTTAGCGGACACGAAAGCAAAGCGTCTTCTTTTTTACCTTACGTGATTATTTGCATGAGAACATTTGATGTGAATATAGCGGTACGGCCAATGCTTTTATATATATATATAATTTGCTACTTAGTTTTGCACAGACCTTTACCATGGCCGAGTGATAGCGTGTTTGCCTATTGTTGCAGAGGCTCGCGATTAAGCACCAGTGGTCGCCCTGGTTAATACTTCACATGTATACATTCTTCAGGCGTATTAACCATAAAACGCGTGCAGTCTGCTTCACACTGGGTGTTAAATATCCCGGGAGGTTCTTTTGCATCGTGCATAGCCAACCATGAGCACGGTTGGCTACGTACGGCGTGAAAGAAGCGCAAGCTCAATTACTTCCTTTGAAAAACATTGCAACGTCACCCCTACTGTGAAATTATTGAAGACTCTACTCATCTGTGAAATGCAGTGCCCTCGCAAAAGCCTTGCACTATTAGAATGGCACAGATACTAAATATTCATCACAATGACCAAATTACCCCCATATACGCCCGACATCCAATCCCGTCAGACCTCGGAAGATGTAAGCACGGTTGAGCCTGGATTGTACCTGGACAGTTGTAGGAAGCATTGTGGACAGTAGAGGGCAGTGCAGCAACAGCCTCTATCAGCAGCGAGTGAGACCTGAACCAATCCTGGGCCCCACCTTCACCAACCCACACTGGCCAGCGTGGTGAAGTATAATCACATAACCCTCACTGCACCGCATGCACGGCTTGCGGAGACCCTCACTCAGCAGAAGATTGACACGTGGGCATGGTCATTCATTGCTTAGAAAACTATTCCAGTACAGAACCCTCCTCTTATCTGCAGTCCCATTACCCACGACTCCTATTATCTACGGGAGCTGTAGGAACCGCGAAAATTATCATTATCCGCGGCCCTATTGCTTCCTATTATATTATCTGCAGTTACCTACAATTGTTTACCCATGATGCATTGCCAAACGGCGTCCTAATGCCTCGGAATCTTTCCGTGGATAACAGTTGCGTAGAAAATCTCCTAATACCCACGGGTTTTCCGCAAATTAAAAAAATAGCTGTGATCAAAGCAAGGGCAGCACTTGCTATGATCACGAGACCGACGCGAATACCCCAGACACGGGGCAACGCGCGCACACACAGACACAAATACACTGAAGGCACACGGAGAGAGACAAACAGGGAGAGCCACGTTGAGACAGACGCAGAAATGACGACAGAGTTGATGACAGAGACAATGAGACTGAGAGACAGGGAAACTCTTTCCTGTAAGTGCGCTTGGGCAGAACAAATTGCTAGCTACTAGCACGTACAGTACACGAGTTGAGACTCGTGTACTCTAACACCTTTGCGTGTTTCTGTCTTTGTGTCTGTATATGGGGAGCGGTATTGTAGCAGTTAGCGCTACGCTGCGCTATGAACCCGGCGACCTGGGTTCGATTCCCGCTCATGGCCAACATTAGTAACGATTATCTGAACCGGTCCTGGGCCTCCCCTAGGTCGACTCAGCCTCAAATGAGTACCTGGTGCGGTGTGTAAACATCGCCACTGGGGAGACAAAGGCGGTCGGACGTGGTGCTGGCCACCCACCCCCTCGTGTACCGTTCCGGCCTTCATAGGTGCTCGCTCACAGCACTTGCCCCTACAGTCTGTTAAGGCTATACGGGTGATCTTTGTCTGTGTATATGGGTAGCGGTGGTGCAGCGGTTAGTGCATTGCGCTATGAACCCGGCGACCAGAGTTCAATTCCCAGGCATTGCTCACATCAGTGGCTCCGTCTGTCTTTATTTGTGTCTCTGTCTCAAAGGGTCCGTCTCCCTGTTTGCGATGAACCAGGTTACCCGAGTGAGTGATATCCGAGCCAGTACTAGGGGACCCCACCTCCACCAAACTAGCAATAACCAGTGAGGGGAAGTATGGTCAAACATCCCCCATGAATAACATGACATGAGGACTTAAACCAGCAATGGACGGACCATAGAATGTAAATATTCGTAAAAAACAAATACCGTACCGTATATGCAAGACTCATTGCCATGGAAAATGTTACCAGATCCCTCGTGGAATTTTGGAATCAACAAGTTTGAATGCCCAACACCTGGCCTGCACACACACACGTATGCACTAAACAGTGAAGCATGCGGCTCCACATCACAGCTGATGCACATTACATCTGCTCGGACCCAAAACAACAACAGCGACGACATGCAGCTCGTAAGGCGCTTCTCCTGCACGTCCCACGCGTTGGTCTGCCTCATGTTTTCCTCCACGTTCTGGGAGCTTCTTCGAGAGGTGAATCGAATTAAGGAAACCTACACGGAAGTATAACGTCCCTCTAGATGTTTTACTTGTAGGCCTCACCACCCGCCGGTTAGCAGATAATCCAACAGTGTCAATTGTTTTTTTTTTCAAAAGAAGTGGTTCAACCCATGTGGGCAATACAGTAGATCGTCATACAGTGGATCTCATCGATTATCCGGTGGCGCGGGATTTAAAAAAATACCGGATAATCACTATTCAAAATATTGTTTTGCCATATTCTTGCATAACACTGTTTTTAGGTGTTGTGTGTATGTTTTTTAGTGTTTAAAATGTCTTTACTATGTGAAATTGGAATAAATAAACGTACAAAGACAATAATAAATATGCTACTGTAAAAAGTTACATCAAGTGATGCAGCAAATCTGGTTGTGATGGTCCCACCTGATGACGGAGACTTGTGTTGCCTCCGAAACGTCGTGAGTTTATTGTTTTATTTTTATTAATTTTAATTTCATTTTTTTACCTACGTGACTTTACTGAAAGAACTAAGAGTATCAACTGTACTATTTGGGGCATATAAAAGTGGTGCAATGGTTCACGCATTGTATTATAAACCCAGGCCAGCTAGGTGAAATTCCCAGCCACGGCTGACGTGAGTAGCGTGGGATACTTGAACCATTCCTTCACCAGCTTGGCAAGGCATGAAGAGGTTTTTTTTCAACAGTGGACTAACAAAAGCGTTGTAATTATGTAGATGTTTTTTTTTATAATACTAAGCAATCATACCGGCTTTAACATGAATTACCCTAGGCAAAGCCTCAAATCTGGATCTTCCACTTTAATAATTAAGCAACAGATTAGCTCAACTTAAGATAAACAACCCAAAACATTTATGCGACACAAAGCTTTGGCGAAATGAGAAAAACAGAGCTGGTGTTATGGCGAAATGCACTGTAGTTAAAATTGAATCCTAACAACCCAATATGTTGTCTATTGCAGAACACAGAATTAGTTTGAGGCACCAACATAACTTGATATTATTTCTACACATCAATGCTTAACAGAGCCCCTTGTATAACAAACACTATTGTGTCCTTGTAATTACTCACGATGTGTGTGTGCCAGGGTTCAGGACATGTACTTATTTGTTTTGCCACGTCTTGGCATATTCTCTATTCGAGTGCTTTGTGACTGCAAGCACAGTGAGAACCTTTGTATCCACGACGAAGCTATATTTGTATAGTTATGTATTGCTGCTGAGAATCCATGAAAAGGTGCCAGGACAGACAGTAGTGTGAAGCTAAAAAGCTGCTTCAGTGTCCAACACGAAAGAACTTCACTTTCTCTCTCGCTCTGTGCGAGCCGAGAACCAGAGGTCGCAAACGGGTTTTGATTCCTTACCCGTACCCGGCCGCACCAGGGTCGCAAACGGGTACCCGTACCCAGCTGGGTACGGGTAGCCGGGTATCGGGTAGGGTCCGGGTATCGAGTACCCGGTTGCGACCTCTGCCGAGAACCCGGCGTCCATGTACCACGACCTGCTATTTTCCATGTACCACGACCTACTATTTATCCATGTACCACGACCTGCTATTTTCCATGTACCACGACCTGCTTTTTAAGCATTAAAGTTGTATGTTTAAGATAGGAATTCCAATTGGTTGTTCAACTCGTGAGAAAAAAATGAAAGTAGGTCATCCGTGACAAAAAGAAAAACGTACTCAGAAGGAAACAGGGCTGTGCACTGTACGTATGTTGAACTTCTTTCGCACCGTACCGTAGCGAAACGTGCTAAAATCGGAGGTTGCGTGGGGCAGGGCAACACACAAAAACACAAAGCAGTTCTAAACACAAACTAAAAACACAAAAAGTGGTACGTTTTCAAGCAACAAGATATCATGGGAGGGGGGGGGGGAACCACACCCTTCAAAATATCAAAAGGTAGACAAGAAAGTGTGTGTGTGTGTGTGAACCACAACTTCATACAAATCATGAAATCCGATCACATTGAGTTAAATGAAGGATCTCTTGCACCGACCCAAGCCCCTTGGGGGGGTCTCTGCAGTGACCTGCAGCTGGTCTGCTCTCCTGAGCAGTGAGGAATGAACCCACTCAAAGGCTATTTTCATTATTTATTTATGGGCATCTCTCTCATCACTCTTCCTGCAACCACCCCCCTCCAACCCCGCTTTTTTATAGCATCACATTTTAACACTGCAGTAAAGTTCAGAGAAAGGTCTTCCACACTCCCTGATAAACCAACAATGTTTATCCCGTCGCACTCGACCACAACGACAACGTCGTAAACAACAGAAGCAGTTTCCAGCTTTTGAAAAAAACTACGAACGCAAATGGTCTGCAATAGCGCCACACACACACACGGGCAGTACGTACACAGGTCCAGCCTGACAACGCTCGTAAGGGAACACGCTTTAGACCAAAGCTCGGAGCGTCCGTCAGCACCTTCTAAAAACCCCACATTTTAAAGACGCCTGCACACACAAGAGCAGGAGGCGGTGGTCCTTACCAGTAGCGTCCACCCAGAAGCCTCGACCCTGGGAGCCGTCCACCGACAACTGTCCCGGGTCGCTCTCCAACTCGTCAGGCGACGGCTCCAAGCCCCTGCAAAGAGGCGCACGGGAAAAGGGGGGAAGCGGTCAACTTCAAATCCATCCGCGAGGCAACGCCGCCGGCCGGAGGACCCCCCCCACCCCGACCCCCGCCAAATCCGACGGTGGCATTGACGTTTCGAGTTAAAGACCCATTCTAGATACAGTACCGTGGAGGGGTGCAGAAGCATTTCAGTGGTATCGTGCACATTTAAAACAAGCACATCTAAAGCATCCGTGTTCATTTGATGCCGAGTCGACCTGGGGGGGGGGGGGGTGGGGAAGAGGCCGAGGGACCCGGTTAATGATGAGCGTCACCGGTGGTGGCCGTGAGCGGCAATCGAACTCGGGCCGCCGGGTTCGTAGCGCAGCGCGCTAGCCACTACGCCACCGCTCCCCACACACATAAGACAAAGATCCCCCGTATAGACTTTTATCAATTCTTGGGGCAAGTGCCGTTAAGCGAGTAGCACCTATGAAGGCCGACACGGCGCACGAGAGGGTAGGTGGCCAGCACCACGCCCGGCCGCCTTTGTCTCCCTCGTGGCGTTGTTTTTACGCACCACACCAGGTAAGCGTTCGAGACCGAGTCGACCTAGGACCGGTTCCGACGATCGTCACCGGTATTTGCCGTCAGCGGGAATGGAACTCGGCCGCACGACCTAACGCTAACCACTACGCCACCGCTCCCCCCCCACACACACTTTAACCACACAGCCGACAAACACTCCCAGCACGATGCCGACCCATTAACATCTCATCCTCCTCTTCTGCCCCCACCGCCCCCCCCACACACAAAGCGCCAATGTGTAAAGAAACAACAAGACACACGCACAAGGACATCGCCGAGCTATGGAAAGAAAGCAGCACGGGCTTGTCATAGGTGACAGCGACATATCACAGGCAGTCACACTTCCTGCGGTAGAGAGAGAGAGAGAGCACAGGGATGGGGGGTGGCTGGCTCTTCCTTTTAATAACACGGCTCTCCAGGGAAGCCCGCGGCTGAGCAGCTGCTAAACCAACAACGAAGCCGGGGGGCTCTTCTAAAAGAGAGAGAAACCTTGAATGTTCGTCGCGTCGATGATGTGTGCCAGCATGATGAGACGCCGGAGGAAGAAGAGGAGAGCTTTCATCCACAAGCCCACCCTGGACCCACAAGGCATGGGCCGCATTGAGAGACAGAGACTTGCCTGCTCGACACCTTCTGCACGAGATGGGCCCCGAAGGCACCTCCAGTCTGCACGGCCGACCACGTCCACCGTGCCCAGTTGACAGGTGACAGCAGCTTCCACGGGCTCGACATCGTCCCCCCACCAACCCCACCAGGAGTCGCAGAGACTTAAATTGTCTCTCCCTTCGCTCCCTTCCCCACCGACTAACGCCTCGACCACAACGGGGTCCTTCTCCCCTTCTCCTGCTGCTGCTGTGTGTGTACCCCTCCTCTGGTAGCTGACCGCCTCCAAGAAGCTCTTTTAGCACGAGTCGCGATGAGCTTTAAACTTAACGAACCCCCCCTAAAGCACTGCTCCAACACAGCCTCCCCCCTCCCCCGTCCGCTACGGTGTTTAGACGACTTTGTAGAGAGAGAACAAAGCCTACACGCCGACGACTGTTATAATAACCCCGTCTCGCTAACAACAAACAAACAAACAACAACAAAACTATCCGCACATTTTAACGCTTCGCTGTCCAGGCCTCGTCGTCGTCCCCACGAGAATGATTTTGTTGTTTCGCTCCACGCAGCCAGAGCAGATTTCTTTTTTTTTCTATGTTTACACGAACGGCGACGTCACATTAGAGATCCTCTCGGCAAAAGCACTTAGCGATGCGCCGCCACCTGTTGCCACTCCTGTTTGTGCCCGAGCTCAAAAAGCGTAATCCTTAAAAGGCTAAAAAAGCTGCGCTATAACTTCACTTAAATACAACTCCCCCCCCGCCATGTCCCCCCCACGCACTCTAAAACTCGTCTGTAAGAACAAATAAACCGGCTCAGTTTGAAGATATAAAAATGTTAAAACGCAGGAAGGTGACGGCCACACAAAGTTCGTCTCCCAACAACGACGACGACGCAGGCAGCAGCAGCAGCAACGTCTCCAGTGCCCACTAATCCCCCTTCTTCCCACACGTCCAGCTCGACTTTTTGAATGGCTGTGGCTCGCCAGCAGGGAACCAAACAGCCCGTCCAGCAAGTGAGTCAGCGATGAACCCAGAAAGAATGAAGGGGAGGAGGGGGGGTGGTGAAGCAAAAAGGCAGCCCTCCTCCTCCCACCACCACTACCACCCACCCACCACACCACCATCAACAACTCTCCTTCAACGTGCGATAGATCAGCAGCAGCAGTAGCAGCAGCAGCAGCGCCAGCATTCAACACTGGCAGCCTTTGAACCAAGGTCTGCGTGGGCTGCTTGGCACACGCTCGACGTCGACTAAACCACCGCTAAAATCTCGCGCTGGCAAGCGGACAAGGCGGGCAGAAGTAGAAGAAAAAAGCCGGCCAGTGGGGCCGGGGCCAGGAGCACACGAATAGTAATAATAGTTACCGACACTCCCCCTAAGGAATCCAAACCATTCCACTCTCTACGGTGCATTCCCATTCACTGCGGCTGCCCGGCATCTTTGGAAACGCAACACACCCAACAACAAAAATCAAACGTCCGCGCACGGCGCGCGAGCACGAGACGCACGCGCGCGAGGCACGCGCACAAGACGCACGCGCACGCACGCGCACGAGCGCACAAGACGCACGCGCACGCACGAGCACGCACGCGCATGAGCGCACGAGACACACACGCAGAGAGTCTGCGACGGTGCAAACAGGAACTGCCGCACACACACACACAAACAAAGATCCCCCGTATAGCCTTAACAGGCTGTAGGGGCAAGTGCTGTTAGCGAGCACCTATGAAGGCCGGAACGGTACACGAGGGGGTGGGGGGTGGTCAGCACCACGCCCGACCGCCTTTGTCTCCCCAGTGGCGATGTTTACACACCGCACCAGGTACTCATTTGAGGCTGAGTCGACCTAGGGGAGGCCCAGGACCGGTTCAGATAATCGTCACTGGTGTTGGCCGTGAGCGGGAATCGAACCCGGGTTGCTAGTTTCATAGTGCAGCGCGCTAACCGCTACACACATGCGCACACACACGCACGCACACACACACACGCGCACACACGCACGCACACACACACAGCACACACACAGCGCACACACACACGCACGCGCACACACACAAACGCGCGCACACACACACACGCGCGCACACACGTACGCACACACACACACGCACACACACACGCGCGCACACACGCACACACACAAGGAGGATGTGGTTGCCAAGCCCGGCCGTTTGCCGAGCTCGGGTTTTGGCTCCCCGTCAGGAAACAGATGCGAGGCTGAATTCACGTGTCGACCGACGGAAGCCCCCCCCCACCGCCGCCGCCGCCACGCAAGAGAGGTTGGCTGTGGAGGAGGATGATGATGATGAGACGGACGAGGCAGCAGCCTCACGCAAGCCGAGAGGAGCACAGGCGGGGTGCGAGCGAGCGACTCGGAGCACAAATTGCTCGTCACAAAGCCAGGAATGTGCCAATGCGCCTTATCTGTTCCATCGGAGACGAAGAAAAAATGTGCGTCTTGAATGTTGAGATTGCGTTCCTACCTGCAGCGTGTGCATGTTGCGAGCACCCCAGCAATACAGTGCGTATGTTTGATAAATAAAAATACACACCACAGCGCTAGCTGTCTTCGACGTTACATTTGTGACCGTCAGGTATATTTACATTCTCAAACAAGGTCTTAAGAATCATACATCAGCACTTTTGTCAATGCTTGTTTTAAATATTAATCAATATAAAGCTCAGCGAGTGCAAGTGTTCCGATGGACTACTAAATGCGCTTCACATCAGCTTATATGCAAAGGTACCTTTCTCAATGTAATACAAATAAATGGAGCACGATTAAACGAGAACAAGATTGGAGGTTGCTTTCAAATTCTCCCATTAATCAATCGGACCCAAGTACACAATCCAATACGCACTGGTAAATGAGTTCACTCGCATTTGAACACCGAACACGTCTACCCTGTTGTGCGTTTTCGTCATCTTCTTGCCTTGTGACCCCCCCCCCCCATGCCTTTATTGTCGAAAGGCTAACATACAAGAGGCTTTCCCGAGCCCCATCCCAACACTTGCCCAGTCACATCGCTGCAGGAACCAGTCAAGCGTACACGCTCCACGGTCATGGCGTATTTACAAGAGGGCAGAGGGCACAGGGCACTGGGGTCAGAATTAATCGGTGGCGACTCAGAAACCCTTCTGGAGAAAGGCTAGATGTGCGATTACAAACACAACTACGATATAAACGCAAAGTTTATGATTCGGGTTATAACCGAGAACTGATTTTAATATCTGAAAATAAACTAATTGCAAAGTTTTCATGCAGGAGCAGCTTATTTACCAAACATTTTGGTTTGTCCAAGTCATTTGGTTTCCCTACCTCATGCAAACAAGCATTTGGATAATATGGTGGCAGCCGAGACGTTAATTTGAATACATTTCCCTCACATGAGCCCACAGAAAGATTCCCATACCGACAGTTGGGACAAGTGCTGTTAGAGAGCACTTATTAAGGCCGGAATGGTACATGAAGGGGGTGTGCAATGGCCAAGCAGCATGCTGGACCACCTATGTCTCACAGCTGCCGATGTTTAAGGGGAAAGTTTACTGAAAAGAGGCCAAGACCAGCTTCCGATACCACTTCACTGATGGTTCCTGCCACAAACGCATGGTGACGTTTCAGGCAATGACCCTTCATCACACAGAAAGGCCAGAGTTAATAAGGATTGGAGACTGCACTTATCACGGATTTATATAAAAAAATGTTTTACTCATTTTTTAAGTAGGCATATGAATAGTTATATAGCAGTAGGCACATACAACTGACACCAAAAATAAATACATTTAAACTAAATATGGATAAGGTGCGTATCTTGCACTCAATTGTACTGCTACGTTTAAAGTGAAGGGGTGAGGCGTTCATTCAGTCATGTCGGCTCAACGATTGAGTTTAAACAAGTGGCCCTTCCGTCCTGTTTCTGGTATCATTCCCACCCGAGGGGGAAGACCAGGCCACGCACCAACATATCACCGGAGCTGTGGTCCCCGCTGCTGAAGTGACGAAGCTACTGATTTGGGCATTTGCACGACGAGCTGACGAAACATCTTTTGCAAATCAAATCACAAAAGTCTTCTTGGTTATTTCGGTAAAGTCACGTAGAAGGGAAATAATAAACATTTAACATAAAAAATAAAATCTCATGACGTTTCGGCCACAACACAAGCAGCCGTCATCCTCATGGCCGAAACGTCGTGAGAATTTTATTTTATTGTTTGATTTTTATTATTTCATTTTTTCCGTTCTACGTGACTTTACCGAAAGAACCAAGAAGATGAATCCTTGCAATCACGAAAGCTTTAAATCGAAATTAAAAAAATCACAGAAGTGTTTACTAGTTTCTCCAATGTAGTGGAGGCCACAGCGTTGGCATGCGATGTAATAAAGCAATAAAGCAGCTTGGTGGAGGTGCATGTAAACCTATGGCGCATCACAAATATATACTCTGGGCGTTTTTATCTGGGTATTGGTCGAATGTGAAGATAAACGGGTTGCATCTTCTGCGCTTGCATGGAAAGCTGCCCGGTATGATATTGTTGCCTGCGCTTCGCATTGAGCCATGTACGAGCAGCAGCCCCCCGAGGTTTGCGTTTCTGCAAGAGGCACATAAGAGGTGATTCCTTAAAAACGTTAGCAGTAGTCACGTCGTTCCTTAGGACACGAACATTGTTAAGGATGATATCTTTGATGGCCAGGTTTGAAGGTTGTCCTGCTTCTTTCTGGTTGGATGACTGTATGTGTATGGAAGCGATTGCACGCTGCGCTATGAACCTGGCGATCCGGGTTCGATTCCCGCTCACGGCCAACACCAGTGACGATTATCTGAACCAGTCCTGGGCCTCCCCTAGGTCGAGTAGCCTAAAATGAGTACCTGGTGTGGTGTGTAAACATCACCACTGAGGAGACAAAGGCGGGCAGGCGTGGTGCTGGGCACCCACCTCCTAGTGTACCGTTCCGGCCTTCATAGGTGCTCGCTAAGAGCACTTACCCCTACAGGCTATACGGGGGATCTGTCTTTTTTTCTGGATGTTGAACGTCTTTCACACCGTACATAGCCACCCGTGTGAATCGGAGGTACGGGAAAGGACAACTAAACATAAATAGCAGTTCTATAGAAATTAGTTATCACCCAGTCTACCGAAGAGTTATGTTGGTAGATCCTGTGACGACTACCACTTGAAGGTTTTGGGGTGCAGAGAAGATTGAGTAAAAAAAATTAGGTGTGCTTGTGCACCTACTGACAACGCAGCATCACCACTAAATAATTTGCCTTGTTAATTAGATCTGCACCGAGATGAAATGCCATGCAAATTGGTTGGCCACATGTCCAGTGGTTAGCACAAATGACCGTCTGCGTTCCATTCCCAGCCATGGATAGAATTAGTGGCGAGTGATGTCTGAACCAATCCTGAGTCCCCCTTCTCCTTTGCCGACTTGCCCATACTGGACAGCTGTGGGGAAAAACAGAGCTTCATAGCTCATCGGATTCCTTCAGGATAAATAAAGATTCGGATTCACCAATACGCGCCGAGCATTGTGGTGAAGCATCGTAAAATAAATTCACACGACCTACATGGTGCCAGGATTCCTTCATCCAGCAGTGCAGTGACAAAGGGTTGCATAATACATGTACTCGCATTCAAAGATGCATTTCGTGTTCACCTTCAAAGATACTTGAAGGTGAGTACACATGCCTTCACAGATTCTTTAAAACAAATCGGTTTCCTGCAGAAAGCTATTGCAAAAATGTACCCACATGTGGTAGTCATGGTTTGATTTTCAAAACATCACAGTTTTCCAGTTTTACAACATGACTCACGTGAAGCCACCAAAAGCAGTGTTCAACTGTTACAGTGGCTTCTCTTGTAAAGTTCCAGGCAATGGGGAAAATAAATGCAAGCTGCACAACAAAACGCATACATTGTCACGAAGTAAATGAAAAGAATGTTGCCATTTTGACAATCGGTCCATTCAGGAAGTTCCAGACTTACAAGTGCCACTTTCAAGTGGTAATTTTACTGCTTTTGACATTCCCATTGTTTCGGCGCGGGCCAGGAGTGGTACACTCATGGGTAGAGAGGACGTAGGGAACACCAATTAAGATTTTTGTATCTTTTACACAAATTTATTCTGATTGTTACAATAGTGTCATGTGACAAATAATCCATTCGTATTTTTTTGGTAAACAGTATTATAGCCTGTGTTTAAGAATAGTATGCAAAATAAAATATCATAGAACTGCTATTTAAATCTCTTCAAGTGACCTTTTATCCACATAACAAGGCAGCACTTTCCCAGCTGCCCTGATGGGTTAGGGTGGATATAAATCAGTTTGGTAATCAAGAGGATGTTTATTTATTCTCAGATATGGAATGTAGCCATATTAAGGGCAGAACCAAATTTACTCTTGTCGTTTTATTGTTCACTTATTAGGTAACCAGACTGAGGCCATCAACTCACCATACTGGAGAAACCAAAATGAAGCGTGGGTGGGGTTCCCGAAATTTCGCACCCAAGTTATCAGCGGT